TATATAATATAATATATATATATAATATATATTTATATATAAATATAATATATATATTATTATATTATATACATATATTATATATTATAATATTATATATTATCTCTCTATATATATATAGAGAAAATTCACACCATCCTTCCTACTATTACCTCTGATTGTCTGTCAGATGAGGCAGCTTTAGAAATGTCACTAGAACCTGATTTATATTTGGACTGTTTTTGTCCTGTTGCGCTCTCTGAATTGTCAAAAAATATCCGAACCATTGCTGCCAATTTGCCATGATGTAGCAAACCATGTCTGCTAGATCTTTTCCCAACCAGATTGTTTAAATCAGGTCTCTCTTGTAAATGAGTCCTTGAGGCTCAATGGGTTTTACATGCCTAAATAAAGGTTGAATGAATGAATGAATAAAGAGGTATTTCGTTTAATTAATATCCCCATTTCGGATCTGCTTAATTCGTCTCTAATGAATGGTTACATACAACAGTGCTTTAAGGTTGTTGGAAATAAATCTTTACTTAAGAAGCCTGATCTTTATTCAGGGATTCTGGCAAATTATAGACCTATAAAAATTAAATCAAAAATTATCGAGAAAATAGTTGCAGGTCAGTTGCATAAACATCTGAACAGAAATAATCTGTTTGAGGGGATTCAATCAGTGTTTAGAGCTCATCATGGCACAGAAACAGCACTAGCACTAATAATATTCTCATGGCTGCAGACAATGGACTTGTGTCTATACTGGTCCTGGTAGACCTCAGTGCTGCATCTGATACAGCTGATCACAATATTTTACTGCAGATGCTTGAATATGATATTGAGATTACAGGAACAGCTCTAAAATGGTTAAATCATACTTAATTGATATATTCCAGTTTGTAAATATAAATAATGAATCTTCTTCATACACCAAAGTTTTCCATGGAGTTCCTCAGGGTTCAGTGCTTGGACAAATACACTTTACTTTTTTTCATTCAACCTTTATTTATATAGGTTTGTTCCCATTGAGCCTCAAGGACTCATTTACAAGAGAGATGGGGGTGGGGGGGGGGGGGGGGCAGAGCTTCTTGTTCACATAACCTTCAGGAGAAGTTTGAGATAGTTAGCCTATTCAAGGCCAAGCAGGGAAGCCATATTCAGATAACAACATTTGTTTTGGGACAGTGGACTCTGCTTAGTTTTTTGTCCGCCTTCATAGTTCTGCTGGTGTATCTCATGGCGAATCCAAACAGCCAAATTTGTGGTCACTCTGCCGGGTCGTGCTTGTAGCCTTCTCTAAGGTCGATTCCTTCATGCCAGTGAGTTCCAGGGGTCGCAAGTGGCCTGTGATTAATTAGATGTAATTTAGCTGTTTTTGTTACTTTTTTGCCATCTTATTTGTTAAAAAAGCAACAAAAAACTGTATGCCTTTTTTGTGGCTGTTTATTGTTGTCGCTGTTGTTCATTGTTTTCTTCACTCTTTGTTGAAATCAGGTCTCTCTTGTAAATGAGTCCTCGAGGCTCAATGGGATTTACCTGTCTAAATAAAGGTTGAACGAATGAATGAATGATTCTCAGAAATCGTGTCCAGCTCACAAAAGCATCTGAGTCTGAGTGCTCAAATCATGGCACATTCCTTCACATACTGTAAGGCAGGCAGCCTCACAATTGCCAGAACCACTGTCGATGTATTCCATATTTGTTGATATAACATATACCCGCCAACTCCAAAAAGCAGAAATCCTGTTATCATAAATCCAATTATGTACACGTCTTCTACATCCTCACCGGACAATACGGACAAACACATCATCTTCCACTGCCCCCAGGAATCCATAGTGTATCCAGCTGTGAGTGTCCCTTCAGGGCATGAGGGCTCTCCTTCACCCTGTCTTCTTGTCAAGAACATGTAATCAATTGCATTGAGAGATCAGCTGACCAGATTCATAATTTACAACTTGGAAGATATGTAAAGAGAGGCTCTGAAAAAGATTCACAGGACTGAACAAAAGCAGGAGGGAGGCAGGAGCAGGAGTAAAAGCGTCCGTCTTCGTCGAGAGCAAGCAGGAATGTGCCTTTATATATATGCGCTACTTTATATGCTTCCATTAGGTGAAGATGGAATATATTTTCATTGCTATGTTTATGATACACACTTATAGGATGACCCTTAATTTTCTGCTTTTAAACTCAGACAAGACAGAGTTTGTGGTTTTTGGACCGGAGCATTTTAGGAATAAATTTTGCAGTATTTCACTTTCTCTGGATGACATTAATCTGGCCTCCAGTTCTGAAATTAAAAATCTTGGTATTATTTTTGATCAGGCTATGTCTTTTAACCCACATATTAAAAAGGTTATCCAAACTGCTTTCCTCCACCTGCGTAATATCATTAAAATTAAAAACATCATGTCCAAAAATGCTGCAAAAAAACTGGTCCATGCAGTTATCATGTCTAGGCTGGACTATTGCAATTGTTTACTATCTGGATGTCCACAAACTTCTTTAAAAAGCTTTTAGCTGATCCAAAATGTTGCTGCCACAGTCTTAATGAGAGTTGATAGGAGAGCTCATATCTCTCCAGTTTTAGCTTCTCTTCATTGGCTCCCTGTCAAATCCAGAATATAATTCAAAATCTTACTTCTAACCTACAAAGTTCGCAACAACTTAAGTCCATCTTATATTACAGATCTTGTGGCTCCATATTTTCCTAACAGAACACTTCGCTCTCAGACTGCAGGTTTACTTGTGGTTGCTAGAGTTTCCAAAATCAGAATGGGAAGAAGATCTTTCAGTTATCAGGCTCCTCTCTTGTGGAACCAACTTCCAGTTTCTGTCTGTGAGGCTGACACATTATCCAGTTTTATGACTGGGCTTAACACTTTCCTTTTTGACAAATCCTATAGTTAGGGTCGGCTGGAGTTTCCTGAGCTGTCCCTTAGTTATGTTGCTATAGGCTTAGACTGCTGGAAGACAAACTAACCACATTTCTTCACTCTGCTACTGTCTTTACTTACTCTGCTCAACCTGTTTGGTATTTATACTTTTTTCTTTTCTTGACATGTGTTTTTGTCTTTCTTCTAGGGCAGCTGTGGCTGAGTGGTTAGAGCAGTCGTCCTCCAATGCAAGAGTTGGGGGTTCGAATCCACCAGCAGTCACATGCTGAAGTGTCCCTGGGCAAGACACTGAACCCCTCATAGCCTCTGATGTGTGTCCCATCAGTGTATGAATGTGATCTAAAGCACTGATTAGTCTCATTAGAATGATTTGTTCAATTAGCTTTGTAGAGATCTAGTAGAGTGCTGTATGAATGGGTAAATGAGGATACAGGTTGTAATGTAAAGCGCTTTGAGTGTCTTGAAATAAGATAGAAAGGCGCTCTATAAGTACAGTCCATTTAGTAGGAGGTACACCTGCGTATCTAAAGTACATCTGGATCTTCTGTGTTTGTCTCTCCTTCCTGTTCCTCTCAAACCCAGCTGTTCAAAGCAGATGGCCCCATGTCCTGAGCCTGGTTCTGCTGGAGGTTTCTTCATGTTAAAGGGGAGTTTTTTTCCTTTCCACTGTTGCCTCTGTGCTTGTTCAGGACGAGACACTGTGACAAAGTCAAGATACAACGAGTGTGCTGCTTCCTTAGCTAGAGAACTTTACTAAGTGGCTTTTCTATGTATATGAATGTTTCTGTACAGTACCCTGTGACAACTTTGTTGTGAACTAGCACTATATAAATAAACTGAATTGAATTGAATCTATATTTTTTTCCTGTATGAAAATTTGAGTAAAATTTATATTAACCACAACAAAAAATTACAAAAGTTTTTGCTTTGTGTTTTATGTTAATTCTTAATACCACATTGCCTTTTACTCAGCTGCTTGCTTTTCACTCAATTTATACCCTTTTTCTTGCTTCTCTAT